GCCGATAGACCTGTAGACACATCCAAATGTACACGCACACACAAGTGTAGACACACACACACAGAGGCCGTTTTCATCCAGGCGGAATGGAACATTTCCTACTGGAAGGGTGATTTTCCTCGTACGGGTTTTTCCTCACCTGGGCAAATCTGTCCTTTGAGTTCACAGATCCTCAAGGGAGAAGCTGCCAACTGCTTCCAGAAAATGGCAGGTAAGAAAAAATACTAATAGAAATGCTGTTCGCTTCAGCGAGTGCCCTGGAGGTGTTCGAGGCCAGGCTGGATAGGGCTTGGAGCAACCTGGTCTGGTGGGAGGTGTCCCTGCCTGTGGTAGGGGGGTTGCATCTCAATGATCTTCAAGGCCTCTTCCAACCTAAACCATTCTACGATTCTCTGATTCAGGCCTGGTCACGCTGGTATGTGGCATACCGGTCGTGTTTAGCTGAGATACTAAGGTATTACTTTTCCGAATGACTGAAATTACTTCGGTAAGTGATGCCTTTGAAAACTCCCATCTCTCCAGAACTCTGTCAGAGTGCCCTCAGCTCCACTGAAACGGAAACAAAGAGCTTGCAGAATTTAATCGTATCGCATCTGTGAGCTTGTGTTGTCTCTGGCCACTGAACTGCCTGTTTGCTGAGAGTTAGTGGGAACAGCAGAGAGGTAACTGCTCTTGGTATTCCAGAATAAGTTATGGAGCAGGGGTTTAAATAGCCTATACAAACATTAAATTTATGATAGTGTTTGACCACAAATTTTAATAGTCTTTTGGCAAAGCTGTTGTTTGCTGGACGCTATGCACAATGGTGAAATAATCACCCCTTATAATTTGGCTTAAAAATTAGGTATTATTTCTTCAAGCATTCAGCTCGGGTTCTATTAATTATCTCTGACTTATCCCTTAAATTTATCTCTAACTATCCCTTAAACTTACCTGTCACCCTGGTGGTGCTCTGGGCCCTGCAGCTTCTGTGTCCCCTGGAGTAACTGAACTCAGGAGGTGCCCGAGGTTTTGTGTTGGCAGTTAGGAACCAAGAGCTGCGTGTTTTGCAGATCCAGTCATTTTCAATAGTCCCTGGAAATTTCCCTCTCTGCAATGTTTATGTATAAACAACTACTACCCCATAAAAGTATTTCACCTTTCCCTTGTGTTCAGTGATGATTTTTTTTGAGAATTATTAAAATTGAATGGTCTATGTACAATACAATTTTGTCCAAGTAAGCTCTGATACACCTTGTTACATCAGTTTACGAAGCTCCATCCCAGCATATCCATCCTGCCACTCAGTTTACCTTAAATCCACCTTCTTAGCACTTTGAGATACACTAGACAGCTCACTCATGTCTAAGAAAAAATCGCGTTGCTTTCTAGTGATGTCACTGTGGTGACTCTGAAGTGGGATAGTGGCATCTTAGACATGTACCCTGATGTTGTCACTTGCACAAGGACTAAACAGGAAGATGAGGGGATCCAACATTGCAGTAGGAAGATCCTCTGAGCTCTCAGCAGTTGTTTCCACAATTTTTTGGGGGAATCCAAGCTGGCACTGCTTTGATCCCAGCTCACCTTTCACGCTTGCACTGTAGCTTGTCTGACCCAGCCTAGGGAGCTAAACCAGCAGACAGCTTTTTTTGTTTCCCTGTTGTTGGGTGGGTTTTTTGGGGGGGGTGGTGGAATCAGAGAAACACAAATGCTGACTCAAGAGGAGGGATTGGGTTGTGCTGATGTAGTGCAGTGTGACCTGCCCTAGAAACGTACCCGCTGTCCACTAAGCTCCACCTAGGCAAGCCCAGTGTAGCATAAAATTGCTGGGTTGGGGGCATTCACCAATTAGTTCCTCATGAGTCACTCACTGCTGCCACGCGGGAGTCAAATGCTCCCACTGTCATTCTGTTTTCACTAGTTTTGTGCCACTTGGAAAACACACCACAAAACAATGAAGTACCAGGCCCTGGCTCTACAAACTCTTTCGTATCTGACTCCTGTACTCAAAAGTATCTTCTGGTTTTCTTTCTGCCTCCAGGGAGAAACGTCCTGATAGTCTATGCACATCAAGAGCCCAAGTCCTTGAACGGATCTTTGAAGAGTGTTGCTGTAGAAGAGTTGAGCAAGCAGGGCTGCAGTGTCACAGTGTCTGATTTATATGCAATGCAGTTCGAGCCAAGAGCAACAAGAAATGACATTGTTGGTGAGACTAACCAGAATACACTTTTTTTTCAGCAATAACAATGAGACAAACTTTGACCTGTCCTGCTGCATTAACAATCCAGAACCATGCTGCTTGGTGCACTCTGAAAAATAATTGCTATTATTTTGCACAGATATCTCTCAACTAACAAAACCCAGCTTTTTATTTTCTATTAACATTGACTAAGAAATGTCAGTGTAGGAATCCAACAAGTACAATCTTTATTTAAATAAATCTGATCACTAGAAATGGCCCCTCAAACAGAAAAAATGAAATCTCATAGAATTGTCTAGGTGGGAAGGGACTTTTAAGATCATCAAGCCCAACCGTCAACCTAACACTGCCAAAACCACCACTAAACAATGTTCCTCAGCACCACATCTACCCATCTTTTAAATAGGGGGATCCAGGGATGGCGATTCCACCACTTCCCTGGGCAGCCTGTTTCAATGCTTGCCGACATTCTTCGGCAAGAATGAAGAATTTTTTCCTAATACCCAATCTAAACCTCCCCTGGCGCAACTTGAGGCCATTTCCTCTTCCCCTATTGCTTGTTACTTGGGAGAAGAGACTGACCCCCACCCTCTTACAACCTCCTTTCAGGTAGTTGTAGAGAGCAATAAGGTCTCCCCTCAGCCTCCTTGTCTCCAGGCTAAGCAACCCTAGTTCCCTCAGCCGCTCCGCTAAGAATTGTTCTCCAGACCCCTCACCAGCTTCGTTGTCCTTCTCTGGACACGCTCCAGAACTTCAATGTCCTTCTTATACTGCGGCGCCCAAAACTGAACACAATATTCAAGGTGGGGCCTTACCAGTGCCGAGTACAGGGGAACGATCACTTCTCTAGTCCTGCTCACCACACTGTTCTATCTGTGTATCTGTTATATCTGTATAGTACAGATTGGTAAACCAGTGTTTTGCCTTTTGACTAAAGTGAATGAGGGAAAATATTATTTTTACAGTATTTGCAATCAACTGCAGAGACCTTCTAAGAACAACCTTCTCTTAACAAACAAGATTACAAATGCTTTCTGCATGTTAGCTCCAGGCACTTAAGTGCTCAGGCTCTTGAGTTGTCGTGGCACCTCCCGACTACCTTGGTAGTATATGATTACTAGATGATGCAGGTAAGACTTGAGAAAAACAGTCATGCTCTTGTTAGGCTTATGTGATATTTTCACCGTGTTCTTACTAGCATTTAGCTCCAGTATTTTTCCAGGTTAGGAAACACAAAGCCATAACATAATCTGCGACAGCTGAAACTCTTTAACACAAGAATCAAAAAGATTGGCAAAACCAAGAAGAAACTTAATAATGAACAGACATAAGCATTTCTAAAAGTCCACTCCTGAATATGAACCTTGTCTCATAGTGACACTACTGAGAGGGAAAAATGCATTAGCATGTGTTCACAGTCAGTCTCTGAAGTCCATTTCGCGTAGGTGATAAATGCCTTCAGATACCATTCTGTGACTAGCTAGAGTTTAGTTCATGAGGCTACTACCTCTCTCTTCTGCTAGAGATTGACCAGAAAAAAAAAAGGGAAAAACAGAAAGTAGTAACTCAATTTAGAACTGTAGATTGTAACATGTATTTAATTCTTATTTGTCTACAATGCCAGAAATGGGGCAAGGAATGACTATTCACCTCTACCCACAGGTTGCTTGCACAACTCAGAAGAGTTCAATTATGGTGTGGAGACATGGGAAGCTTACAAGAGAGGAGGTTTGTCCAGTGATCTGATTGAGGAGCAAAAGAAGGTGCAGGAAGCGGATTTATTGATTTTTCAGGTCATTACTTTAAATTGTATTAAAAAATACTTCAGTTGTAATATACAGGGTTGAACAAAAGAAAGGCAATAGTGAACAGTTTATACATTTCGTTAGGTACATTGAATCTAGCCAGAGTAAAAAGAGGTAGTAGCTCTGCCATCAACATAAAACAGTCCATATCCAGCGTAGCAATTTCAAGGGATCAGGTTTTTCTGATATGAAGTTGGTTTTAGAAAATAGCAAAAATACTAGATCATGCGTAAGCATTATTTGTGCTAGCACACTATGAATTTTTCGCACCAATAATGGCTCCACACTGGCATTTTTGAGTAGAAGGGCATCTGAAATTAGAACCTTAAAATGCCTGAGTAAAATTCACAGCAGTGCTTCACTTAAAAATTAATATTCAAAAGTAGTCTGATTCTATAGGTTTTGTGAAGACTGGTCCTCGCGCTACCTGCAATCCAAATCTATTGCATAGAGCAACTCAAACCAGAAAGTACTGAGTGCAAAATAATACTATAATTCTCAATATGAGAATTATGCCATGTTATCACACAGCCTGGTACTCTCCCTTTGTCTTGGAGCTCACGTAAGGCAAACATAGATCTACACACAGAAATGTGTGTAAGGGCTGAAGGCAGCCCTGCCAAGTTATAGGTTTGGGATATGGTTATAGACACCAGACCAACAGCTTTAGGAATAAATATTTTCTCTCTAAGTAATGGTACAGTAACAAATACAGATCAGTAGTACAATTAACGAGGTCCTTACAACAGCAAATCCAGTCATTCAGTAGCACAATTATCCAGGTTGAAATGACAGCAAATCCCGTAATTCACTAACAGCGGGCCTAACTTCATATCTGGATGCACAGAGATATACGTGACCATGGATGTCAGGCAGGCTGGCAGAAAGCAGGGCAAGGCTTATTCTCTGGGCGAGCAGCTGGGAGCAGCCAGCAGGCTCGGGGAACTTGGACGTCCCCAACTGGACTTACCTCATTTATTGCTGAGTTGCGGAAGCACTATCTGGACGTACTAATGGATCATTACACCCCCTCTCCATTCCCCACTGTGCCAGCTCTGTCCTCAGTGTCTACAAGTCCCAGAAGTACTGTACAAGGCAATACTAGCCTTACATTTCTTTGTGTGACTGTTGGCCTTGGGCATAGCCTATATATATTTCACTGTCCAACTCTAGATGGAATTTAGGATGTGACCATATCTCAAGCATTTTACTGTAAGTCTTCATCATTTTTATGCTATTGCTTCTGAGACAAGTATTCAAACATTCCCCAAAGGAAGCAGTTGCTTTCTACTTGCTCTTCGTAGAAGGCTGTGAAGAGTTATGTTCTGGTGCAGAAAAAAAAAAAGAAGAAAGAAAAAAAAGCCTCTGAAATGCACCATAAAGTGATTTAAAATTTACTACAGACTAAACTCACCACTTCTAGAGAGAGTGGTGATTACCCAGTTTCCACATTGTTTCCATCTTGAATTAAGATACAGATGGATAAGATTTTACAGAATTTCTTCTTCTGCAATGTGGACAAAGATTTAGGGATAGTGATGCATCCTAGAATAAAAGTCCATAAAGCATTCAAGATAATGCAAATAAGACATGATAGCTTTAGGCTGTAGTCCCACGGGCTAACTGGAGGATTTGGAAACAGAGGGTCCTACTGTTAAAGAAGTTTTCTTCTCAATAAAGTGATTCAGGGTCATCATGTCAGCAGGGTGTGAAAGTAAGTCTTTCTTAAGATCCCATGGCATTTGTCAGGAGTCTGTTGGATCAGAACTGATCACCAGATGTCAGTCCTGGCAATAAGGCTGTCTGTATGCATTTTGACCACATTCGCCATTACATCATACATTCCTTTTGCATTTCAGCAATAGGAGACGCAATTCAGTACAGTCTTAAGTTTGAAATAAATGTCACCTTCCTGCTTCATCATATTCCAGCTTCAATTTGTGTAGAAGGCCCCACGTTCACCGTGGTGTTAGTGTGCTATATATGTTCAGGTACGTACCCGAGACTACTACAAACAGAAAACACTTCAGTTATTTTTGCCAAGCATAGTTACTGCCTCCCTCAACAGAGAGCTGGAAGAAGACATGTACAAGATCTGAACAGATTAAGATAATGGGATTTGGCCTGTAGACCAGGCCTAAGGATGGCCTGGACTCTCTGTGCTAACAAGGTAATTTACTTTTTGCCTAGTTTCCCTTGTATTGGTTCAGCATGCCAGCAATCATGAAGGGCTGGATGGACAGAGTCTTGGTCCAAGGATTTGCTCATGAATTTCCAAAGTGTTACGATTCTGGTTTGCTCAAGGTATGTTTTTGAGGTTGTTTTATTAAGATCAAGATTTACACAATGCTCTTGAGGGTATTGGTCTTTCTTTTCCATTATATCTGTTTAAAGCTCGCACTTTATGCTCTCTTGAAATAATGCTTTGGTAATGTGTTGAGTAACTTTCTGGCTTAAAACTGTCTGAAGGATAGTACAATAAGGAGAAAGCAGTGATTCCTAAAGATTTAAGCAATCTCCTAGAGATTTTTAGTTGGCCTACAAAGTGGGCTTTATAATTTGCTAGGTGTATCAGAGTGCACTGGGATGGCATACAGCTTGCAAACAGTTTAAATCAATCCATTTCCTAAAACTATAGTCTGTCATTCTTCCCACCACCACAGGACTGCGCAAATTTGTAACGAGTGATGTACTAGAATAGGTGACAAGATCCTGTTCTGGGATTAGATATCAAAGGTTGGAATTAAACTATAAAACTTAATCAGAAACGTGAAATACCCAGTGCATGAGTCTCTGTCCCAACTATCTCTTTTCAACCTTTTCTTCTCTGTAGCTTATAAATTAGGTACGATCAGTATCTCTAGATGACAATTCATAATTTTTTCATTCCCCATGGCACTGGGAATACCCCTGGAAAATTTTGGCCCACTGTCTGATGGATCTTATTTGGTAACAACTGCAGCATCCAGGAACCATCAATACTAATTTCACATTTATGTTCTCTGCTGCATATTAATCTCTGATCTTCTTAACAATTCCAAACATTTCAGTTTGTTTAAATTTCAGAAATGGCTGCCTCACTGAGATGAATAGGAGTAATCCCCAATGTTCATAGCTGCATGCTGAGTGCAGGCTCAAGGCCGTTCGGATACTGCACTGGAAAAATATTATTTCAGTTACAGAATCATAGAATCATAGAATGGTTTAGGTTGGAAAGGACCTTGAAGATCATCGAGTTCCAACCCCCCTGCCATGGGCAGGGACACCTCCCACCAGACCAGGTTGCCCAAGGCCACGTCCAGCCTGGCCTTGAACACCTCCAGGGATGGGGCCTCAACAACCTCTCTGGGCAACCTGTTCCAGTGCCTCACCACCCTCAAAGTGAAAAACTTCTTCCTAATGTTTAATCTAAACCTGCCCTCTTCCAGTTTATATCCATTCCCCCTCGTCCTGTCACTGCATGACCTAGTAAAAAGTCCTTCCCCAGCTCTCCTCTAGGCCCCCAGAAGCTAAAACTGAGAGGGCAGATGCTGAGCACAAGCCAGTGGCTAATACTATAGTTACAGGAGCAGAAGAAACACAGGGGTTTAGCACACCTGAGGGGTAATTTGTTCTGAAATTATTCCTTGGCAAGTGATAAGCAAGCCCAAGTTTGAAGGAGGGACTGTAGCATACGATTTCTGCATTCAGGAAGGACAGGAATAAAGATATTCTCAGTAACGGAGTGCTTTCCAGCTATGGTTTTCCAAACATTGCATAGGGGAGAACAAGGGTCAGCCCTGCTTCATACAAGGGTGTCAGACATGTAATTCCTTTTTTTTTTTTTTTAACCTGTCTCTGCCCAAAACCCTGACACACAGTCCACTGTTTAGTTGTATGTCATCAATTTTTGCCTCGGAGCTGCCACTACACATAAGGTCTGGGAAAGAAGAGGACACCACCTCCTCTAAAAATTAATGCTGTCTGGGTTCCTCTGAATATCTCTGGCACTATTCATCCACTCTTCCTTAAACGTGCCTAACTCAAGCATGCTTTCTTAATTCTAGAACAAATTAGCCCTGTTTTCTTTCACCACTGGAGGAAGCAAAGAGATGTATGCAAAAGGAAGTATCAGTGGTGATATTCGCTATCTCCTGTGGCCCATGCAGGTATAATATATGAATATTTGGTTGGGGTTTGCCTTAATTGTTATTATTCCAATTATTTTAAACAGTTGTATTATTGTTTATTTTATGTGAAATATAATAAGAAAGAATTAAGTTGTCCATTCCAAGCATCTGCAGGTTATAAATTGGGCCCTAAAATCCTGAGACTACTTTAGAAGTCCACAGAGTTTTAAAGTTGCTTTTTGCCCCTTCCTCCAGATTGGAATCTGGAGACAGTTTACACTGTCAGCCTTTTAAGTTTCTCTGGTGTTATATGATTTCCTTTAGCCCTAGCATGCAGGATTTCTTTTCCCCATAGATACCTGATTCTTGTAGGATGCATGGCAGGAGGGGAGTCACACATTATCCTGGCATTAATGATCAGCATACGAAATGCCTTTTCTTATTGCGACCCTTTTATCAGAAGTAGTGAGCATGCTTTGAGAAATTTCAGTGGTAAGGCAAACGGTGCCAGGTACTTCTTGATATAATACAACGGATGTGCTTAAATTCTTTGGTCTCCTACCCATTGCAATTACCAGCTGTCTGCCCTTGTGAGGCTATCTAGCTGCAGAGCTTGCAAGTCAACGTGACAAAGAATGTGAAATGCAACTGTGAATTCAGAAATACGCACAGAGGGAAAATGGCAAGTTGAGCTGATTTGAAAGGCACCAGCCTTCATTCAGGATCGTTTGGCTAAGCCAGAGGCAAAAGGTTAAAAAAAAGCCCCTTAGAATTAGATGAGAAATACACGGCAGTTCAGGAACAATCTGTGGACGTTTAAACAGTACAATGGACTTTAGGCTGTCTCTGATCCTTGCAAATTTAATAGCATACAGCAGATGAAAAGAACAGTTCTGTGGGTTTAATAGCACTTAAAAATAAACTCCACAGGCAGAATAAATGAAGTTGACATTATTTTTCAGTGTATTGTATGTCATTCTGCTTAATGCCTAGCCTCCAATAGTCACTGCCAGGATAGATAATGAACTTCTATTTATTTCCCTTCTGATAAATGTACAGATTTAGAAAACCTGCCTTATATTGGGTCAGAGAAACCATTTCAGATTTGAATTTTCTACATTCTTGAATTGAAAGTGAAAGGCTAACTATTTCCTGAGGGATTTCTTTCTTTGCTTTGAGTCCAGCATGGAATCATGCACTTTTGTGGTGTCAAAGTCCTCGCACCTCACATCTGCTTTGCTCCGGAGTATGTCTCTGAGGAGAAGAGGAAGGAAATGCTGGTTGCCTGGGCCCAGCGTCTGAAGACACTTTGGAAGGAAGAACCCATAAACTGCTCTCCTGAGTGGTATTTCAAGTAATGTTCAGGTACAGGACTACAGAGAGAAGATTTTTTTTTTCCTTCCATTCTTTTTGGTGCTTTATCTCGATGTCTGAATGCTGATCTCCTAATTCGAATGTATTATAAGTATCTTGAGTACTACAGCTGGCAGTTTAACTGACAATATAGCATTTATCTTCATTGATTCCTGAGCGATTCTCTTCAGTGATGGGTGCAAAACTCTTTGTGAAGAATGATCCTTGCTCATACAAACAGTGACATCCTGCCTACAAGTGGTTGATAACACAAGCTGTATTTAATTGCAGATTATACCATTGCTGCTTATGAAACAGTGCATTGCCATGTTTATTTTAACAGTTTTTGTAACAGCTGCCAGTTTGGGGTGTTTTTTATTTACCAGGGAATATGCTGCCCACATTCAACCTTGTTATGGCCAATCCCGTTCTTTTAAATGAGACCTCTGCACTTGTGCCTTTGAGCTATGAAGCCACATCATGAATAATGCAAAAGGATGTATAGAGTTGCACAGTGGAAAAGCCTTGCAGAAAAGCCTTAGCTGGAAGGCCTTGCGGACAGCTTTAGGTTTTTCCACATATTTACAACGCAATATTAAAGCTATGACAGATACCAGAAAAGGAAAACACCAAATACAAATATCATATAGCAGTATGTGCATGTATTGCCTTTCTTTACAGAATGTAGCTCCCATTTGTGAAGTATGTAGTTTCTTAAAATCAAAGGGAACTTTCTATTTTTGTTACCCTAAGTAGAGACACAAAGGAATCCTGTCTGTTCCCTTCCCCTTCCCACCAGTCAGTATTGCTGCTTGGCTCTGGAGGGCTGGGTGCATCCCCTCTGGCATCAGTGTAGATGGAGTTCCTTGGAGATCTCCAGCGCCAGCAGTCGGCGAGGCAGAACACCTACCCGAAAACCTGCGGGAGCCCTATCTCTTTATGAGCCAGGATCTAGTGGGACAAAATGACTGGCTCTTAACATCTGTGATTTTTACCGTGAACTTTAGCGGGATTATTTTTGTGCTCGAGAGCTGTTAACCCTTTTTGTGCATATGGCAAAGGGTGGGTTTCTTGCTTAGCTACACCATTTCTTGCTTTGATCAGCTTACCTAACAGCTGGCTTTACACTTTAATATTAAAAGAATGTGGCCTGAATAAGAAACTGTCTTCTGAATCACTGTCAAATGACACTTATGCCCCTGCATACAGAGCGTGCATCTGCCATACATTCTTTGTAACAGCCACAATGTCATGCCCCACCCTTATGTTTCTTTAAGGGCTCTTTGGATTATAAACACGCCGAGCCCAGATTGGAGAGCGGCAGCGTAAGCTGATACACCAGACTGAGAATTGCTGCCACATTGAGTCACGTGTTCCTGTTTGCCACCCTACCCCTACACAGTGAAGGGCCACCTCTAGCAGTGACAGACCCCTGGAAGCAGGGAAGTGCTGCCCTTAGCTCTCACAGATGTCTGCTTCATTGCATATCAGTCAAAGTCTTTAGGTTACACAAGCAAGAAACTTGCTTTAGCTCAGTAACTGTTGTACAGGAAAAAGAAAGTGAAAGGGAATAAAATGGAAAACGTAAATTGTGGAGAAAGCAGATTCTTGCCTAAGAGACTTAAGGAAAACAACTTTAAGTTATATGAAGAGAGATTGAAGGACAAATACAAATATTAAAATTGTGTAGGAGAAGAATCATCCTTATGTTCACTGTGTTCAGTTACCAGACTATTCAAGAAAGAAGGAAATGGTTTGACAGTTGCAACTGCTGCTTTCGTATCCAAATGTTACTGTATTGGATCAATCGCAGAGCTTAATGGGTTTAACTGTTAGATGAAGAATCTCAAACCCTATATGATGAAGATACACTTCTTGACACTATCTGGCAGATGTGTAACAGCTCCCACACACATGGTAACATTAAGTGTCTGTATTAAACTGGATATTTGTAATTGAAGTATTCAAGAGCGGCTGTGCTAGGTCAGAAAAAGGGTCCTCCAACCCCAAGTTTTTTCTCCACAGTGGTTATAGGCCAGGAAGAGCAAGAACTTCCCCTGAATACTGTCCTGGGCTCCAACTATATTTACTTTGGGGGGTTTCCTGAACTATGTATGTTTTATATATATATACACCAAGCCAAATAGATCCCTGCTCTGAATTTTGTTCAGTCTTCTCTTGAATTCATGCCAACTTGAAGCAGCCAATATTTTTTGGCAAAGTTCAGCGGGTCAGTGTTTTCCTTGCAAAAACCATTGGAATGCGGAGGGATCCCAGGGAGGGTGAAGCACCTGGTTCCCAGTAGCTTCATTTGATTCCTCTCAGTCAACAGTAAACGGTCAGTCCCATCTGTTCTTTTACATGGCACCTCCTAAATAATCTCCTTCCCAGGCCATGGAGTCCTATCCTGCTCAGTTGTTCTTCCAAGAGAAGAACATTGGCCTTTGGTCACCCTTGTTGCTCTTTGAACTCCTCCAGTCTCGTTATCCCATCATAGAGAAGAGGGGACCAGAAGTACACACAGAGGCAGCTTCCTGACTCTTGGATTCATATGACTTTCTCTATTCTTTTCCTAATAATCTCTGACATACGATTTGCTTTAGCTAATGTTTTCATCTGTTGTAAGCCTAGATCTTGGCCGTCAGTGGCAGCGGTCAGCTCAGGCACCATTATTTTAAACATCAATTTAGCATATTTTTTTTTCCTCCTGTGCACCCCTTTACATAACTTGAATTTCACTTCCTGCCTCATTACCCAGTCACACAACCATTTTTCCAGAACTCCTCACAATCTGCTTTGCTTGTCCCCCCATCCGCATCATCAGCAAACTTTCCCAACCTCATCATTCATATTGTATTCCAGATAATTTTCAACAACAATTTCCAGATTCAGCAGTATTGGTTTAATGCTGTTTGAACGCACAGGAATTCTCTCTCTTTGGAAAAATCAGTAAGGAGACAGAAGAACAATTGTGCAGGATTGTGTAGCCAAAATACCCCATAGCTGTTTCTGAATTACCAATTGCACTTGATGACACAAGAAGGCATTTTGTTAACATCCAACAGAGAACAAACCAAGACCTAACCACCTTGTCCAAGCAACAGATTGTCACAGAGGACTGCCATACCTGCAAATGCTATCCAGTCAGATGTGCAGAGCAAAGGTGGTGTCTTTATTGGAACTTAACACAAAGCCAAGGGGAAACAAAATCCTCTCAGTATACTCTACACGTACACCTTTGTATTTCTGTCATCTGTTGCTAGGCCACACCTCAGCGTCTCAAGGAGACTTCAGGTGGTCATCTTCTGAACTTAACTGCAATGAAAAATTGTGGCTGCGGTCAGTCACAAGCAACACTGGTTCCCAAGTCTCTTGGGGGATACCATTCTGCATTCGGACTCCCCAGGGAAGTACGGCCCTTGAACCCATGCGTCAACACTGTTGGTTGCAGAGTGCTGCAGTTTCTCCCACCTCAGCCCTCTGAGCAGGGCTTAGAGAAATACAGTGGAAGTTTTGTTGCATTGATGAGCCAAAGCTAGCTAAAATCATGGCTTCTTTCTGTAAAATCAGCTGTACAGCATAATATCTTGACAGCTGTTGGACAACAGTGGGATCAATCAGACCAGATAATGCTTTGCTTTAGATTAAAAGGTAGATTACAGAAAGATTACAGACATAAATCTCAGGATTTTGCCCACCGATGATCCCCCTCCCCAGAGTTCTAGGCAGGGTGCTGAGCCCAGAATTAACGTTTCAGCATTGACTCATCTCCAGAGCTGGGAACGTCCTGTGTGAGGAAACACTTACCCTGCTGGTCCCAGCAGAGCCTTTAGCTGGGGACAGCCATAGCACCTTTACACTTGGGTCCCACCACAAGGCAGGTCCCTATAGAGCTCACCATTCATGCAAGACAGAGAGAGGGAGAAGACTCTAAAGAGATACCTGGCAGCTAACTGCAGGTAGAAAGAAAGGAGCAGAAAAATTTAAACCTCTGTAGGCAAAGCTCACTACAATACAGCGTTCAAAGTTAGTATCAGGAAAATACCCCTGTGCAAAGTCACTTTCCCGTTACAGCACAAGCTTATTGCGATCGTGTTTTAGTTTTCAGTATTAACGAGATAGGTAACCATTCCAGGTAGCCTTGCTTTAGCACTGCGGAGTTTTGACACTTCTTATTTATCAGCCCCTACAATTTTTCCAGTGGTGCAATGAAACCTGCAAATTTCACGTGCAGCAGTTGTCATCCTGCTGACAATAAAAACAGCTACATGTTAAAAAAAAAAAAAAGTGTTTAGAATTCTATGTATTTACATTTTTTCTATCAGCTTTAATAAGATGGCTGAGATTTTTAGTACAAAGTAAGTGAAAGTTTGGTTGAGATTAGTGAAAGTTTCAGTTAAAGTAAAAAGAGAACTAATGCGCTTATTTTATTTTAATACTAAAATTGAAAACTTCTGCTCACATAAACACATTATTGTGAAAAGCATTAAAACTGTACTGGCCTTGTTGGCCAGTTCAGGACAACCTGCCTTTCTTTTCAATCAGAATTAAGAGATTTCTCCATAAATTCAGATTGCATTTTTGGATCAATTTATTTTCCCTATTCATTTCAAGAAGGAATGTCATAACTGGCAACACCGACCTCTAAGCACCAACAAATAAATGCTAATTTCTGTCTTTTTTTTGCCTAGTGCTTGTTGGTAAATCACCCACTGAATGAGACTGAAACCTTTTTAACCATGCAATGCTTACAAATTTAGCCATGTTCCTGCCTTCAGCCCATGTCTTCAGCCACATACACAATGGAAAGCTCAAAAGCAGAAAAACAAACCAAAACAAAAACCCTCAGGAGTAAAGTGTTATGAGAAGATTTCTGTAATGTTTGGGATTGCAACAGAAGACCAACACTGTATGATCGGCCCACGAGAGGTACCGCATCTGGATTTACTTTTGCTTTATTTAGTTGTCAAACATCCCAGATTCTCTGGACTGCAGGTTTAATAACACCCTCCTTACGATACCTCACGATGTGGATGGACATAAAATATCTGTATTCAAACTCCAATGAGCTTAGTTTGGCCATTCAGCGTAGCTGTCCTGAGTCTCCTCATTACAGTAGGTGTGATCGGCCCTTGCATCTGGAG